TACGTTTCCTGCAAGTCCATGAAGCCACAAAAACTTCAGGATCACTCAAGTCACTGATATAGTGAGCAGCGATAGTCGATTAAACCAGCTCGACCAGCTCATAAAAAGCGGAGGATGACTGTCAAACGGTTCTAGATGACCAACAGATAGAACTGGTCCATCTCCTTGAGCGTCCCACTCAAAAAACAAGTCCCACAATGCGTCTTGCTTCTCAGAAGACGTTTGGGAGTTCCAAAAACCATCCTCCATGTCTCATATCATAAAATTCATCTTCCGCCCAATTACACTCCCGATGTTGTCTTCAGACTCATATTCGACTCGAAATGCTAAGTTTAATTGTTAGATAAATTGTTTACGGCATGATAATGACACTGCGTTAGATCAGTGTTTTGTATATTCAAGCAAGTGAAATACAACTTCAAAGTTTACTGATCAAGAGGCCGAAGTGGATGATTGGAAGTGACATTTTGCGAATAAAGACGTGAAAGTTCAACAACACTGTTTTGGAGAATGAGGATAAACCACTTATTCGCACCTATAAGTGATAGCTTCCATTTTCTCGTGGCAAGAATTATTAGCTCCAATTTTCTTAGACGGCCATTTTTTGGCCTCGCTAGTGCTGATACATTATCGTTCAAAATGGTGACCGTAGCTTGCCAAATGACTTTTAAGATCAGATGGAACTTAGACCGCAGCAAGCGCTCGTAGCAGCTGTAAGGGCATGTTTCTTCTTAGATGTCATGAAGCTCCCACTGCACCTCTAGAATGTGCTCTAAATCTTTAATGTGACAGATGTCCATTAATCTGCTGTTGCGGGATTTGGTATCAGCCAGAAAAATTATACATCTCATCAGCGTAATAAGCTGCGATCAGTTTTCCCGAATACATTGTGCTTGTTCTGTAAAGTGTCGATTCTACTCTTCCAGTATGGAATAAAAACTATATCGCATTTAAACATACAATTAAACGCTGTGGTTAGGTTCAACAGTATTGAAGAGTGCGGCCCAACGAGCTTATTATGCTTTCCGATTGCAGTAATATCCTGTCTTTGCGGCGTTTTCTAAAAAGAAGCTTCTTCCAGGGCCTTTTATTGACACCGTGCACTGTGTTCCATTTTTCCTTTAAAAAGCTGGACTAGAAAACAGTATGGTACTTAAATCCTTCAACTAATTATTCTAATAAACCATCCAGTCGAATGTGGAAAAAAGCATTCTCTTGAAGGGAAAAATTAAAAGATCCAGACTTATCAGAACTGCCTCAACAAAGCTTTCCTGCTCAAACTAGTCCATTAATCGGAAAGTGGTGAAACACGTTAAATAATGAACAGAGGTTCTAAGAAAAAGTAAGACAACTGACTCAGTGATCTACACCGATTGAGAAGCTATTTAATATTTGAATAAAAAAATAAGAGATATGAAACTATTTCATCCAGTATCTTTTAACGTCGGAAATGTTTTCAAGCAACCTTCCGTGTCATTTACCTGAACTACATAACCTCAGCATCTTTCAGCACTTTCCCTTCCCAAATTCATAACATTAGTTAAGAAAAGTATATCGAGGAAGGAAAAGTGCATTAATTGAAACAGAACACACTTTGCATCAAAATCTTAAGAAAGCCAATAGGCAGGAAGCAACTGCTTTTAGAGACTGTATCGGCAACTGCGAGTAGTACGTAAATGACCCCCCTGACCTCATTGAAGAGTGAAGAGAACTATCCATTTTAATGGCTAAAAAATCTCTAGCAAAACTTCTGTCTTTGCAAAAAACAAAGGGCGGAGAAAACTGGATACCATAATGAAAAATTCCCTTCCCACTTATCAAAATGCTTAAGTTTCTCCTAACTTAAGTCAATCGTTCTACAGAATACTTCCAGGTTGCAAAATGCCAGTCTCGTCCACCAAATGAGCCTTCTACAGACAGTAAAGCATTGATTAGCGCTGTAAAGATAACACGAAATGCAGCACTACTTCTCGTCACCCACATATTTCCTGTACAGTTTGATTACCCGGTCGCCAAAGTCTTTCCACAGTAGGTTCTCACCATACCGAGCATAAAAGCTGAAACAGGTTGCTCCAC